GGGTTTAGGGTTTAGGGTTTAGGGTTTAGGCTTTGGGGTTTAGGGTTTGTGTTCCACTCTCAGGTCTGCAAATTCTATTTGCTCGACTTCTGCCCCCATGACCTTTTTCCGAACACCCGGGTTGACCTTGGACCGTAAGGTTGGGGGTTTAGGGTTTAGGGTTTAGGGTTTGGGGTTGAGGGCTTCTCTTCAGGGTTTAGGGTTTTGTTTGTGGCTTTTGGCTCGTACCTGCTGGCGCCTTTGCGCGGTTTTCTTGCTGCCAGGTGTCCTGCGTCTCAGGATTTAGGGTTTAGGGTCTAGGGTTTAGGGTTTAGGGTTTCTTGGTGCCAAGTGCCGTGCGTCTCAGGGTTTAGGGTTTAGGGTTTAGGGTTTGTGGTGCAGGTGCGACAGGGAGCACAGAGCAGACTTGAAGGTTGCCTTTGAGACAGACCCGGAGAGGGAGTTTTACCAAGCCCTCTTCGAGACCGAGTTTGCTCGTAGGGTTTAGGGTTTAGGGTTTAGGGTTGTGTTTGGGGCTGGGGTTCCAGTTGAGGGTTTAGGGTTTGCGATTAAGGGTTTGTTTAGCTTTCGCGCGCTCCGGTTGCGCGGAGGCGCCGCGGACAACTCGTGGGCCCTAGGGTTTAGGGTTTAGGGTTTAGGGTTTAGGGTTTGTTTGCAGGCTACCTGCAACGACTGGTGGACCAAATGGAAAACCGAATCAAAAGAGTGCAGCAGCGGATTGACGCAAACAACCAGCCAGTGGAGCTCTCAAAGGAGAACGAGGAGCGGTAAACCCTAAACCCTAATATACCCTAAACCCTAAATCCTAGGTTTCGAGCGCTTCGAGCGCCTCGGGCCAAACCCTCAGGGGTTGTGGCCACCCTTTAGGGTTTGGTGACCGCGCAAACCCTAAACCCTAAACCCTCGTTGCTCCAGGCGCCAAGCCAAAGCGGTTAAGAAGAATTATTGCCTAGGGTTTAGGGTTTAGGGTTTAGGGTTTGCGTGCTTCTTGCGCAGAGTGAATTCTATGAATGCCGAAATTTCGGAGCTGCTGAAGCAGCAGGATGAAGCTGGATCAAAGGCAAGTCGCCCCCGAGGGTTTAGGGTTTAGGGTTTAGCTAGCGTTTAGGGTTTAGGGTTTTTTGTGTGTTAGGGTTTTAAGTTTCCAATGCGGTCTGTCCTCGTCACTGTAGTTAGCATTTAGGGTTTGATGTGGCACAGCGAGCTGTTTCCTAGCGGGGGTTTAGGGTTTAGGGTTTGATGTTGCACAGCGAGCTCTTTCCTTGTCAGAGTAGCTGGGGTTTAGGGTTTGATACTGCGCAGCGAGTTCTTCCGTCGTAAGGATACTTAGGGTTTAGGGTTTAGGGTTTGGTGCGGCGCGGGGAGCTTTGTCCTCGCCCGGTCAGCTCGGGGGGTTAGGGTTTAGGGTTTAGGGTTTGGGGTTTGCGGATTCAGGGAGATATCGACGCAGCAGAAAAACTTAACGAAAAGGTGGCTTTCCTGCAGCGGGAGGTGTCGAGGTGCGTAAACCCTAAACCCTAGTCCCTAAGCCCCAAACCCTAAACCCTTAATTTCTTTCTGAAGATAGTTTCGGAAGTTTGCACAACTTGCACTGGGATTGCCGGGTTGCTTTTCTCTTGTTTTGTGAGGGTTTAGGGTTTAGGGTTTAGGGTTTGTTTGCAGGCTGAAGAATCCGAACGCCGACATTGCGACCATCCGCGAGTCGCAGCTGCGTGTGGGTGTCTTTTCCAAATTGGGGTTTAGGGTTTAGGGTTTGGCTGTTGGCGTTTTGGTTCCCCATTTCTGTCGGGCACGCAGCTGTCGCTGGCTGAGGGTTTAGGGTTTAGGTTTCAGGGCTTAGGGTTTACTTCCTCGCGGTTTAGGGTTTGTGTTTGTCAAGGGTTTATGGTTTTGTTATTATGGAGGGTTTAGGGTTTATGGCCAGGGTTTTGTGGTTGAGTGGTTGAAGCTTGCTTCCATCAAGGGCTTCGTGGTTTAGGGTTTAGGGTTTGAGGCTCTAGGGCTTTTTGCGTGGTTTACGGTTTAGGGTTTAGGATTCTGCTTTGCGTATTTTACTCCCGCATTTAGGGTTTAGGGTTTGGCGTTTCTGTCGGGCGTTAAGCCATTCGTGCTGCTTTGCATGACGAGGGTTTAGGGTTTAGGGTTTTTGGAGTAATTTGTGTTCCCCTCACTTCGGTATTTCGGGTTCAGGGTTTGTGTACTTTTGTTTGTTTGCTCGCTTGTGGTGTGTCCTGCCGTGTTCAATGTCCCGGTTGAACGCAAGGGTTTAGGGTTTAGGGTTTAGGGTTTACAGCTCCCCCCCCGTTCCCTCTCCCCCCCCTCCCCCCCTTCGCCCAGTTCCCTCCCCGCGCCCCGCGCCCGCCGCCCCCGCGCGCACGGCCCAGGGCCTGGGCCCCAGGGCCTAGGGTTTAGGGTTTAGGGTTTAGGGTTTA